AGTACTTCCATCACGTACTGAGTAATATACTTACCTTGTGCCTAGTTTATAACACGTATGCGAACGGGAAGCCTGGGCTCTGTTCAATTGCCACCACTAAAGTACGAAGGAGGTGGGCGTGTGTCGGCGAACTGATTGATATTGTTCCTCAGTCGTTCTACTAGCCGCCGGATCTCTGCTTCCTGATCGCCATCAAGCATCGGGACGGCGAGATCGGTGGGATCCACAGCGGATGAGCCTGTCGGCGCTACACTTTCCAAAGGCGTAGACACCGCGCTATCGGACAAAAGCGCCAGTCCCGGTCTGTACCTTGTCTTCCCACTACTGTATCCTGCGCCGATGATGCTAACAGGCTCTTCACTGGGCCGCTGAATGACGGGGAGACCGGGAGGAAAAGCGTCGATGTCGCGCTGAGCATCAGATCTCGCCCCATGAATGTTGGCCCGCCTACGACGTCGGATAAGCCACACTGCGCACACCGCTACGATGCTAAGAGCGCCGATTGTAGCACCAACAGCGATGCCGACGACTTCCCCGATCGATGATGTCGATGGGCTCGAGGACATCGAGGGTGACACTGTAGTCGTTACGGATGGCGTTGCGGATGCCCCTGTCGGCGCAGAACTGCACCATGAAAGTCAGGATCAGTAGGTAACCAGAAAGGACTTGCATGATCCTTACCTATTGGTTGGGGGCATAGCAATAGCTGCGTTCAGTACTTCCATGGCTGCCAGCTGACCCCAAGGCACGGCGGTGGTCACCGTAGGTCCGAGCCAGTTCGGAGAGTATATGCTACCGTTGTTGGACGCCAGGTCTAGCAACGCATTGTACTAGCAAACCTAGATGAGTCTCATGATATGGGCGCAGAAGCAAAGCGCACGTACCTGTACCATCACGAATGCTTGTATGAAGTTCGCCATCGCACTGGATGATCCCGCTCTGGACCAGATCTCGTATAGAGCGCGAAATAGTGCATCTTAATGGGGTCAGAGAGACAACCACAGGGAGAGAGATTTGTCGAACTTCGCCTCACGAATGCCTCCGAGAAAACCTCTGGGTCGCCAGTCGAGTCTAGTCTCTGCATGTGAGTATCGCCTCACGCATAAGAGTGTCGCGCATTCACTTTCAATGAGGATGCCAGCGTTGGCACCGATTGACTCGGTCCACAGAGGTGAATTCACAGTAGATGTTACGAATGATTGCAGGCTCAATTCAGTCAGCGTAGCGTTGCTGCGCTCAATGGACACTGAAAGAGCTTACATTTGAGCCCAAGACGTATTTCCTTGGATGGGTGCAGAACTTAAGATCGAGATGCCTTCAAGAAAGAAACCTTGATTGTAAGTCCACCACACATTGCTACTGGCGCTGTTGCTACAGTCGGCAAGGTTATAACTGGCAGTGAAAGGACACGGTCGTCAGTCTTAATGCAGCTAGAATGATCCATCGGATTACGGACTTATCGATCATCACATGCTGCGTTTGAGAGTACATGTGAGAGTACATGAAGGTGGCAGAGAGGTTAGCCGCATTCAAGTATGTGATGTTGCCAGTAGACTCCCATAACTGTGCAGAAAGGCTTTCAGTGCCAGTTAGTATTGGATACTACAGGCCCAGTAAGTATGTCAAAGCACTCACGCGACGTGGGCCCCCACTGTTTGGCCGTTGGATACATAATCATTCGGTATATCCGCGAGCTATATCAGCGGAGATGAGTATCGGCTCGATCTCTGTTGGAAGACGTGACTTGCCCAAAACACTGCTCCAGCCACATTGACTGAGAGTTCTCCTGCCTCAGCTCGATGTACGAATGCCACTGTTTAGATGACCTACCCCCAGCGAGGACACAACTGGTGTCGAAACTTGTGTTTCTGGTATGTTGCGTGCCGCTCATTGCATCCTGCACTGATACGGCATAGTTCTCGGCGACGTTCCAAACGTCAATGGCCACACGTTGCAGGTCCGCATCGTTGTATGCACGGGAGCCGTAAAAGGCGGCTAAACCCCACATCCTATGACGCCTCAGTCATGGTTGTCGAGAACGTTTCGAGGCCACGCAGAACTCACAAAGCATCGCTCGTCACCTCGAGCTAGGTCGTGCAGCAGTTAGTCACATGGGCGTTCGTAAGATACCAGTGACTCCACCCACAAGCAGCCTAGATAGCTGGAGTCAACGAACGAATGGACCTAGAAGCAATGGACGCACTGAGTCTGGTCAAAGAGAGGCGGATAAGCGCTCCGGAAAGACTGTATAGTTCGGTTTACAAAATCACGATTGCTTTGACTGCCGGAGACGTAGTCGCACTGGGCAAGGGCGGCAGGCACATTGGCGGATGCCCAAGGGTTCATTCCTATCTGAAGTATTGGTTGGCTTCTCAATATGCCGCATGCATCAACTCACCTGGAGTGGTGCCATCGTTTACATTCACTGCCGGCGTCAGGGACTGGGCGGCGTTTTGAGCGATCAGGAGACGCTCGGAATGCGAACGAGTAGAATTTGGTTTCTGGAAGCCGGGTATAGTTGATAACGCGCTGGCTGATTCAGATATGCGTTTCCACATACCCGCCAGTCAGTGGGGATGGCAAAGTCTTGACCGTATACGAGTCCAACAAAGATCGCGAGAGAAATGAGAGGGGACGAATGCACGGTCTGGCGACACATGGTGTAGTAAAGAAGGGGCCATCTCGACAGTAGATCTCCAGAAACCTTTTTATATGTCTGCTCCTCGAGATACAGTCGCTACGAAGCCTGAGCTGATGATAAGATGGTCTCTCCCGCACCCGTTCCAATACGGCGAAAGCCATCCCAGACGTTGATTTGTGAGCATGATGGGACCAGATGGCGGCGCGAGGGTGAGAGAACAGTGGAGACTTGAATGCATACGAGACACTAGCATTTGAGAAGCCGAATAGAGCAAGCATCTACGGGTATGTGGTCGACATGATACCGCCAACACATTTGAAGGGATTGCCGAGTGCACTATGTTGCGGCGTCGCTGAGCGGGCGCCCTAATCAATATGCATACCCGCAAAGAGACGTCAAGATTGGAGTGATCTGTAGGGTATCACGTTTCATACGAAGCGGTGCGCATAGGTGACTGATGGTACAAACACTTTACAGGCGTTATTAGGTTGCGCCCCGCCACATGGCGCTCAGACGGTGTTGGGCTGGTCACGGGCTTGCGCCGGTCGCGATAACTCAGACGATATCAAACGCCACTGCCAGTGACACCACTATTCAAGATGGAGTAGGCGTGTGAGGCGAACGCTGAGGCGAACAGATTACTGGAGAGCTCATCGTGGGCAACGGCAAGCAACCTTGCGGGCGGCGTCTTACAAGTTACATACATCCGGCCCTTGCCCGGCCCGATCCGCCCGACCGCGCGAGAGATCGTTACATCATCAACGTGTTCCGGATGATTTCCAAAGTCCTTTCCCTACTGCATATTTTGTGACAGGCCTATTCCTATGGACAGTACGGGACACGATGGCTCGGACTGCAGTAATCTACCGCCCAGCATACGAAGGAGGAGCTCCAGATACCTGCATCCTATCCACGACTTGCTGTATCGCGCGGCTTAAGGCCGACTCCAATGCAGGCCCCTCTCTAGATGTCGAAGGAGGTTCTATGCTGTCCGGGACTGTTGGCCCGGAGCTATCGAGATACAGGAGAGGACCGTGCCCGTAACCGCGCCTATCTTTCGTGTGCCCACTGGCCCAAGCCGCCTGTTCCATATGTGGTTGAACGATCGTATTGTAGCCCGGAGGAAATGGCTCGATGTCCTCAAGGGTACCGGGAGTCGTCCCGTCTACCGAACGAAGTGCTCGACGCCGGTTGGACCTGACGATAATGAAGATTCCGGCAACGGTCACGAGGAGACCAGCGACAACCCCAACGACAATTCCAGCGATTGTACCGTCAGAGATTGGAGGCGATCTCGTCGCCGTTGAGGGACTTGAGGTATACCCCGGTGGGATTGTCGTGGCGGGGCCCGTTGTCGAGCTGCCAAGAAGGTCAACACTCGGCTCATATACCCTCGCTGCCGCGCTGACCGTAGACGCACCTATTCGCGGAAGTCATACCAATGGATGCGCTGAGTACGTCCATCGCCGACAGTTGGCCCCAAGAGACCTTCTCGATGAGCTGTGGACCCTCCCAGAGTGGCGAGTAGAAACTTCCATTATCGGATGCTAGATCCAACAGTGCATTGTACTGGGTGTTCTCCATCAGCTACATCTTGTTTCCATACACAATCAGGTGTTCTTGAACTCGTACCTGCACCATCATAAAAGCCTCGATGAAGTTTGCCATGGGACTAGACGAATTGGAACGCCTCCAGACCTCGTATAGGGCGCGAATGAACGCATCTAGGATGGCGTTAGCGTACACTCAGTGGCTTTGGTTGGAGCGATCATATGAGACTTACTCCTCCATACGAAAGACTCTGCGAATTGTGCAGGGTTTGCGACCGCGCCTACCGCTGATGATACGTCAGCCAGATGAGTGCTCCATGCAAAGGCAATCCACTAACTCTCAATGCTCTCGATGAGGACTCCCGCAATGCTGTCATCGGATGACGTCCATGCAGGAAACTGCAATGTAGAGGCTACGAGCGTGGCTGTACTAAGCCTCCAGCGTGAGCATCGCACCAAACTCCAAGCTATCGGCACTCACAGATTTGACCAAGTGGCTTTGTCGGGAACTGGCGCGGAGCTCAAAATCGAAAGACCTTCGAGGAAAAGACCTTGATTATACGTGAACTGACGTCCATTGTCGTCGCACTTCAATAATTCGTATCTGAGAGGATTGGGACGCATTAAGTATCTCAATGATGCCCACCACAAAAGCTATCCTTACGTATCCGTTATGATCTGGTATAATGGGATGTACATGTGACTGCTGACGAAGCTAGCAGACTGTCGTGCGGCCTTGAGATACGTCAAGTTGCCTGTGCGTTCCCACAGATGTGCAGACAACCTAAAATGGGGAACGTCACTAAATCTGCGTATCTTGACAGAGAAATATCTTACGCCACATATGCGCCTACAGTTTCTCCATTACACCCTAAGTCGCTCGGCGTCTGCGCTCGCTTCTCCGCAAATCAGCGACTGACAAAATTGAGTAAAAAATTTGGTTTCGTACCCAGAATACAGCACCAGCAGACGTCACTACGAGGTTCAGTTTTGTCCGTTATCGCATCATGTCAAGGGGCATACCATTAGGGACGCAATCAACAGTAAAGCTCACATTTCTTGAATGCTGATAACCGCGATCCCCGTCCTCAGCCGAGACAGCAAATTGAGTTGCCACGTTCCACACGCCTTCAGCCGCCTCTGAAAGGCCCGTGTCATTGTATGCGCGTGCTCCGTATAAGGCCGCCAATCCCCACATTCTACAGCATTATGAGAAGCATGTACTATGGAGAAGGATTCGCACAGGCTCACAATGCGTCGCTGGTGAAGTCTTCCTGGAGCATGTATAAGCACCTTACGCACAAATCACGTCTACTCCGCGACAGATTGACTCACAAGGGTTCTGCCTCCATCCAGTAAAGAAGATATATACTGACAAGAAGCGAGTATACGCACATAGTGCTATCAAAATAGGCCGGGTTCGCATTGCGGCTGGCGGCGATGGTATTCGAGACGACTACATGGTTATCCTGAGAAGCAGAGATAAAGTCGTGCTGTGCTATGCTTGCAGGAACATTCGCGGATGCCCACTGGTCGTGGTTCATGCCTACTCATAGCTTCCGTAAAGTCTCTCGCAGCGCATTTCCTACAGACACGGACCTTCACTAGTTCCATCCTCCAGATCTATAACCGAGATTAAAGACTCTAAGGTCGTTTGAGCGATGGAACGCCGTTCGGAGAGCGGGCGATCGGAGCTGGGCTTCTATCGAGGGTAGGGTGTACTGTCAGCACTATCATATCCAAAGCGAGACCGCATAGGCACGTACCCGCCAATTCGAGGGAACGTCGAAACTCTGACCATGTACCCATGTGACAAGAGACGATATGATGAGGAACAACATCGAGCTATCCGAGGTAGCAACTGCAACCCGTCACCGATCTCGCTTGACGTGGGCCTTATATCTGTATGCCCCGACTGTATCCGCCGATGGGATCTGCAGTGATGGTCTCTGTACGGTCGGATCCGGAAGAGCGATGTACCATTCCCTGTTTGGTATTCGCTCTATACGCCTTATCGCGTGTGAGGCGCTTACAACCCGATGCGACGAGTTGGGTCCGGTCGCACTTATGCGACGTGCAGCAACTCCATAGCTCAGAGACGGGAGTCCAACATCCCGCTGAGGGGTAGGTATCGGGCTTGAGCGAAGGACGTTTCAGGTTGCGAACTTGGTGGGCGTAAGGAGTCGCCGTGGAACCATCTATCAGGTACGAGGTCGATGGCAGTGCACACCCACGCCGTCGGCGTAGATGCGAACAGGATAGTGCTACGCCTACGTTCTTCCCAGCGGATAGCGCGTGCAACGCCTAGAGGGCGCCGCTGGGAGAGTCGATCATCTGTATACGACTACGGTCCAGTTGGAATAGTCTAGATGTACTAGTGAGTGAGTCCACTGCCGGTAGTGATGCAACTCGAATCGACTGGACAAAGGAACGAACACCTTGAGCAGGATAACGTACAACCCGATGCCATTGGCTCAGTGGAAGCCCTCTGGTGTTCTTCTATTATTCATGGCATGGAGGGCGGGGAACACCATCGACCACACCCCCAAGCCGATACAATTGGACATCCAGCCGAGGACATGAAGGGCGAAAGCAAGCTGGACACGCTGGCTTTGGTTGGCCCCGGCCGGGCCGATAGATGCCGACGCCCGAGAGCGCCCGAGGCGCTTAGTTTTGTTTGACCTTTTCCCACCACTCTCTGGTGAGCGAATCGGCGGTTGATATATTTGAGTCTAGCACGCCGTCTCTTGCCTCCCGTGCTGGTCGAACGGACTGTCAACTATTCTTTATATGACTCGTTGTATAATATACAGTGATTACTGGAGATTCTCGCCCCCGGGCGACCGGCACTATCAGAGGCAGATGAAACACACTCACTGTAATCAAGAGCAATGCCTCATCCGGATCCAGTATAATATGAAGGAGGTGGCTCGTGCAGTTGCGTCCTGAAGTGGCGAATCATACGTGTCAACTCCGCGAGCGGTGGCTCTGCGGCCGGCGCGAGGGGAGGTTGTTGGTCCTGCGCCGTCGATATAGCGTTCGGTGCAGTACTGGTAGCCGAAGCTGTAGTAGCCCCAAGCCTTGAGCTACTAGACTCAGAAATCCCGGCCCCGGGTCTTCGCCCATTCTTGTTATCGTATCCTGCGGACGTAACCTCCTGGCGCTGGTGAATGATTGGGTGGCCTGGAGGGAAAGGGTCGACTTCTCCGGAGTCAATGTGTTCCGACTCTAGCCGCCGCCGACTGCGCCGTCTGAGAAGGACGATCGCAGCGAGAAACATCGCGACACTGGTGATAGTGCCGAGCGTAATGCCCGCAATTGTCCCTCTGGATAATGCCTTCGAAGAATGCGGCGGAACGTGGGAGGATCCAGAGGATGCTAGGGTAGTCGTCGGAGAGGGACTTCCTATAGATGAGCTATGAATAATATCAGACCATTAGCACGTGTATATGAAATCCGTGACGGGTGGCAGCACTATAATTATTGACGAACATACCTGGAGGTCTCATTCGCTGGAGTCATGTCGATAGCCGCATTCAACACTTCTAATGCCGATATCTGACCCCAAGGGACCATCTCTTTCAATGTGGGTCCTATCCAGACAGGCGAGTAGAAGTCCCCATTGCTCGATGCTAGGTCAAGCAACGCGTTATACTTAGAACGAGTCAGTATAGTCCTCCGTGGCCATGATTGATCGCCCATACCTGCACCATCATGAAAGCCTGAATCAAGTCCGCCATCGGGCTTTTCGGGGTTGTACGAGACCAGACTTCGTAAAGCGCACGAGTGAACGCATCTGCAGCAGGTCATCGTACTCATTGCATCTGGAGACATACACGGACAAACCTACTTCTAAATACCCAAGCTTCCTGGAACTTGGTCGGGTCGTTTGTGTCATCTACGCCATAGTCATCAGTATCAGGTAAGGTGACAGAGCAGTCAACGAGGCCAAGTCCTTCCCCTCACTTTCTGTAATTACACCAGCATTGGTTCCGTTCGCCACGGTCCATGCAGAGAATTGAACGGTCGAGATGACGAGTGCCTGTAGACTGATTGACCCTATAGTGAGCTCGGATGTCCCGGGGGCCGAACTGAGGTGCTTGCTCACAGGCTCTTCCACGTCCCGTTGCTTGAGACCGGTGCCAAGCTTAGCATTGCAAGACCTTCGAGGAGAAAACCTTGATCGTATGTGACTAGATTAGGGTTACTGGAGCATGAGGAAAGTTGGTAGCTGAGATGGAACCACAGCCATCAGATGACATAATGCAACGCACGAGGAAGCGCCGCAAATTACGCACGTATCCGTTATCGTCCTGGTAGACTGAGAGTACATGTGGGTGTACATGAAGCTTGTAGACTGTTCGGCGGCGCTGAGGTAAGTCATATTGCCGGTCGATTCCCAGAGATGCACGGACAACCTACACCGGTCGGTCACTACGGCGTGCTCATACAAGGGGGATACTGGTGCTCACGCGACGTATGCTCCCACCGTCTCTCCGTTACTGCCCAGATCGTCTGCCACATTCGCTTTCTGCTCGAGTATTAGCGATACTGTCCAGACCCAGAGCTATGAACGCACCCAGAAGACGGCTCCGGCAGACGTCACTACGAGATCATCAGTCAGAATTCGTGCTCACACGTACTGTAATGTCTGCCGAGTGCGTACCGTTTGGGACACAGTTGATGGTAAAACTCACGTTCCTTGTGTGTTGAGTGCCGTTTTCACCGTCTTGCGCAGAAACAGAATACACCTGCGCGACGTTCCACACGTCCGCTGCGATATTGAGCAAATCGGTGTCATTGTATGCGCGAGCTCCATAGAAGGCCGCTAGGCCCCATATCCTGTGTAACTTCAGCTCTCCGTCCGGCGCTGCCGAGCCCATCGAGACCGCTCACAATGCATCGCTTGTCACGTCTTGCTAGATATCATTTCAATTGAGCGCACGTAACAATCCGATTCCCTACTACGGATGCGCATATACTGACCAGAGG